ATTTGGATCCCTTTTATTTTTTCTTCCTGTCTGATTGCTGTGGCTAAGACTTCCAGTACTATGTTAAATAGGAGTGGCGAAAGTGGGCATCCTTGCCTTGTTCCTGTTCTTAAGGGAAATGCTTTTAGTTTTTGCCCATTGAGTATGATGTTGGCTGTAGGTCTTTCATATATGGCCTTTATTATGTCTAGGTATGATCCCTCAATTCCCACACTGGTGAGCTTTTTTATCAGAAATGGATGCTGGATTTTGTCAAAGGCTTTTTCAGCATCTATTGATATGATCATGTGGTTTTTATTCTTCAATTTATTTATGTGGTGTATCACATTTATGGATTTGCGAATATTGTACCAGCCTTGCATCCCTGGGATGAATCCCACCTGGTCATGGTGGATAATTTTTCTGGTGTATTGCTGGATTCGATTTGCTAGTATTTTGTTCAGGATTTTGGCATCTATGTTCATCAGGGATATTGGCCTGTAGTTTTCTTTCTTTGTTGTGTCTTTTTCTGGTTTTGGAATTAGAGTTATGCTGGCTTCATAAAACGAGTTTGGCAGTCTTCCTTCTTCTTGAATTTTTTGAAATAGTTTGAGGAGAATGGGTATTAGTTCTTCTTTGAATGTTCGGTAAAACTCCCCTGTGAAGCCATCTGGGCCTGGGCTTTTGTTTGCTGGAAGAGTCTTGATTACATCTTCAATTTCCTCTGTTGTTATTGGTCTGTTCAAGTTTTCAATCTCTATCTGATCCAATTTTGGGAGGCTATGTGTTTCTAAAAATTTGTCCATTTCGCTTAGATTTTCGAATTTGTTGCCGTATAATTTTTCATAGTAGTTGTTAACGATCTTTTGTATTTCTGTAGGGTCAGTTGTTATCTCTCCTGTTTCATTTCTGATTTTATGTATTTGGGTTCTCTCTCTTTGTTTCTTGGTGAGTCTAGCTAAGGGTCCATCAATCTTGTTTATCTTTTCAAAAAACCAGCTCTTTGTTTTATTGATCCTCTGGATTGTTTTTTTGGTCTCTATGTCGTTTATTTCTGCTCTGATCCTTACTATTTCTTTTCTTCTGCTTGCTCTGGGGTTTTCTTTTTGTTTACTCTCTAGTTCTTTAAGTTGTGAGGTTAGGTAGTCTATTAGAGATTTTTCTTCTTTTTTGAGGTAGGCCTGTAGTGCTATAAACTTCCCTCTCAGAACTGCTTTTGCTGCATCCCATAGATTTTGTATTGTTGTGTCCTCATTTTCATTGGTTTCCAGGAAGTTTTTGATTTCTTCCTTGATTTCCTCGGTGACCCATTCATTGTTTAATAACATTCTATTTAGCTTCCATGTGTTAAAATGTCTTTGTATGTTCTTCTTGCAATTGATTTCTAGTTTCATACCATTGTGGTCTGAGAAGATGCTTGTTATAATTTCAATCTTCTTGAACTTGTAGAGACTTAGTTTGTGCCCTAACATGTGGTCTATCTTTGAGAATGTTCCATGTGCACTTGAGAAGAATGTGAATTCTGTAGTTTTGGGGTGTAGTTCTCTGTAGATATCTATTAAATCCATTTGGTCTAGTGCTTCATTTAGAGTCTCTGTTTCCTTGCTAATTTTTTGTCTAGAGGATCTATCCAGTGATGTGAGCGGGGTGTTGAAGTCCCCTGTTATGATTGTATTGCTATCGATTTCTCCTTTGAAGTCCTCCAGAAGATTTTTAATATATTTTGGTGCTCCTATATTGGGTGCATATATGTTTATCAATGTTATATCTTCCTGTTGGATAGATCCTTTCAATATTATGTAGTGGGCTTCTTTGTCTCTAGTTATGGCCTTCAATCTGAAGTCTATTTTATCAGATATCAGTATTGCTACCCCAGCTTTTTTTTCTTTTCCATTTGCTTGAAAGATTTTTTTCCATCCCTTCACTTTCAATCTGTGTGAGTCTTTTGTTGTGAGGTGGGTTTCTTGTAAACAGCATATAGATGAGTCTTGCTTTCTTATCCAATCAGCTACTCTGTGTCTTTTTATGGGAGCATTCAGTCCATTTACATTTAAGGTGGTTATTGATATGTACTTATTTATTGCCATTTTTGTTTAGTGTGGTTCTATTTTTCTTCCCATTTCTCCTGGTAATTACAGCAGTCCTTTTAACATTTCTTGCAGTGCTGGTTTGGTGCTAATGTACTCCCTTAGCCTTATTTTGTCTGGGAAGCTCTTTATTTGACCTTCTATTTTGAACGATAGCCTTGCTGGGTAGAGTAGTCTTGGATTCAGATCCTTGTTTTTCATGACCTTGATTACTTCATGCCATTCCCTTCGAGCCTGTAATGTTTCTTGTGAGAAGTCAGCTGAGAGCCTTATGGGGGTTCCTTTGTAGGTAACCTGTTGCTTATCTCTTGCTGCTTTTTGGATTCTCTCTTTGTCTTGAATTTTTGGCAGTTTGATTACTATGTGTCTTGGTGTGGGCCTATTTGGGTTCTTCTTACTTGGGGCTCTCTGAGCTTCTTGAACTTGAATGCCTTCTTCCTTCACCAAATTAGGGAAGTTTTCTGTCACTATTTCTTTGAATATATTCTCTAGCCCTCGCTTACTTTCTTCTTCTTCAGGGACTCCTATGATACGAATATTATTACGTTTCCAGTTGTCCCACAATTCTCTTAAGCTCTCTTCTTGTTTCTTAATCTTTTTTTCCTTTTGGTTTTCTGATTGGTTGATTTCTTCTAGCCTGTCTTCTAATTCACTGATCCGGTCCTCAGCTTCCCCTACTCTGCTTTTTAGACCTTCCAGTGTGTTTTTCATTTCTGATATGTCATTCTTCATTTCTTCCTGTTGGTTTTTCATTTCCAGATGGTTTATTTTCAACATTTCTATGTCTTTACTCATGTTGCTCATGTCCTTACACATGCTGTTGAGCTTCCGCAACATCATGGCTCTAAATTCTAGTTCTGTTAACTTGCTTAACTGCACCTCATTTATTTCATCTTCTGTAGAGGTCTCTTGATCTTTCATTTGGCTTTTGTTTCTGTTTCTCACCATTTTGGTTATCACAGTGGGCTTTGGAGTCTGCCAAGTTTTCCCAGTGGGTGTTCGTGTTTTGCTGTTTGTGGCTCCCTCTCCTGGGTTTGGATGCACCAGGGAGGACCCACTTTAATCCCGCCAAGTCCCCTGTTCTCCGGGAGTCTGTGTGGCTCCAGCGGAGAGTTTAGCAGGCTATAGCGTTAGGAGGGCCCATGCAGGGTGGCAAGGGAGGTGGTGGGAATAATTTCCAGCCAAGTTCCCTGGTCCCGCCCAGTTCCCTGGGGGCCGTGAGTCCGTGGGGCTTCAGCGGCTGCAGAGTTTCCAGGGCCGTGCACGGCGGGGAGGGAGGCGGTAGAATTAATTTTCCGCCACGTTCGCAGGTCCCACCGAGTTGCCTGGGGGCCAGGAGTCTGTGTGGCTTCAGCGGAGAGCCTAGCCTAGCCGGCTACAGGGTTTCCAGGCCGTGCACGGCGGGGAGTGAGGCGGTAGACTTAATTTTCCGCCGCGTTCCCCGGTCCCACCGAGTTGCCTGGGGGCCAGGAGTCTGTGCGGCTTCAGCGGCTACAGGGCCTTGCACGGCAGGAGGGGAGGCAGCAGAATTAATTTTCCGCCTAGTTCCCCGGTCCCTCCGAGTTCCCTGGTCCCGCCCAGTTCCTTGGGGGCCAGGAGTCTGTGCGGCTCCAGCGGAGAGCCTAGCCTAGCCGGCTGCAGAGTTTCCAAGGCCGTGCACGGCAGGGGGGGAGGCGGTAGAGTTAACTCTCCACCGCGTTCCCCGGTCCCACCGAGTTGCCTGGGGTCTTCGAGTCTGTGCGGCTTCAGCAGAGAGCCTAGCCTAGCCGGCTGCGAGTCTGTGCGGCTCCAGCGGAGAGCCTAGCCTAGCCGGCTGCAGAGTTTCCAAGGCCGTGCACGGCAGGGAGGGAGGCGGTAGCGTTAACTCTCCACCGCGTTCCCCGGTCCCACCGAGTTGCCTGGGGTCTGCGAGTCTGTGCGGCTTCAGCAGAGAGCCTAGCCTAGCCGGCTGCGAGTCTGTGCGGCTTCAGCAGAGAGCCTAGCCTAGCCGGCTACAGGGTTTCCAGGCCGGGCACGGTGGGAAGAAAGACGGTAGTGTTAACTTCCCCTCTAGTTCCCTGGCCCCTGCCCAGGCCGCTGCGGACCCTGGGCTCTTGGTCCCCTCTCCCGTCCTCGCAAGCCTACCAGGACTGAGTGGGTGTTTCTGGTTAAGTGGTCCTCCAAGGTGTCCTTCAGCTGCCCTTTCCTGACGGTTTGCCTTTGTTTTCGTTGTAAATCCAGTTTGGTCTTGGGAGACGGTCTGGGTCCCTCCATTCACTTCGCCGCCATTTTTTCAGTCCTAGTAGCCCTCATTTAATAGAAGACTTTTTTTTGCTACCAACACCTTAGTTCCTCCTTTAGGAATCTAGAAGAGGGTCTTGAATAGATGGTGTCCATGACAGAGAGGACTGCTAAGGGAAAAGGGACAGATCTAAAGTACGGGGGATGTGCAAAGGTGTGAGAGGAAGTTGAAAGTCTTTCTTAGAAGAAAAGGCAGTGAAAGCATTTAAGGGGAATAGAAGGAGACAAACTTTACATACTTTAAATTATGCAGGAAGCCAGCTAGATCATCTTTCATATCCTGGGCTGGAATCACATCTGATGAATTTTCTGGCATTTAAAGCTGTTCTGGAGAAAGAATGATGCGAGGTTATTAGACAGAAGGGAAAAAAGAAGAACACAAAGACAAAATCTGAGCATATGTGAGTCCCTTTTAGAGAGGTAGAAGAAGGCAGTAGTCCATGGAGGAAACATTTATCCAGAGGGCTCTAATTTTTTGTTAATCTCTGGGTCAATGCATTTAGGTCAGCACTAACTCTGTTACAGGTGGGGTCAATTTAAAGGATTAGAAGTGTCTCTCTAAATCCTAATCCCAATCTTGGTCTGGAAATGCTGAAGAGTGCTTCACAAAAAGGTTTACTATCCCTTTCAATTATTTACCCCATTAGTGGAATTTATCAACAGACTGGAGAACTTGGAAGTATTATGAATACATGGAGGATGCACTGAAATGTAAACACTGGGTAGCCATGCCAGAGTTTTGTATGCTGAAGGTAAACTGAAGACACTTGAGCACTGACTTACATGGTGAGTAGTTGATACCTCTTGTTTATTAGAAAGATTTTAATGGGGAAATAACACAGCCCACTTGGGAGCTCAGATTTCTGACTGAGATATGTTAATTTTGCTGCAATATCTAAGAAAAGAAATAAAAGGAAGAATGAAAGATAAAGAAAGAAGGAAAGAAAGGGGGCAAAAAGAACTTTCAAGACACTTTAAATCAAAATTTGGGCTCAAAGGCTCTATTCAAGCTTTTATTTAGTTTCTCTCATGATTCTTTTTCATTTCTTCCTGTTGTTGTCTTACACAAGCTGTTAACTTGATTCAGGCTATAACAACAAAGAACAATCATCCATACAAGTTCTTGGCTTGACAAGTGTCAGAAATCCAGGATGCAAGGGGGGTTTCAGCAATACCCAAGGTAAAGAGGTGAGATACCCAAGGTAAAGAAAGCACGCAGAGCCAACATCAGGAGGGATCAACAAACATCAGCCGCTTTATTCAACACAGCTAATGGCTTTTATAGATTCGTGTGGCGGGATACTCTGCACAGGGTGGTGCATGAGACAGTGTGTGGTGCATGTGTCCTAAACTTTTGCTGTATTATGCTTATATAACGGTAATGTGGTCTGTGCCTGTGCAGCCAGTTCTGTGGTCATGTTCTGAACTGTGGCCTCTAGCAACAAGCCGGGTTCCCCAGTCCTAAGTTAGAAAGAGCAACCATTTTTCTTAGAGGTATTTGTCATAGTCTTTCTTTGCACATATTTCAAGAACACTCAGTTTCCTTGTGAAAGTCTTCCTACCAGATTTTGAAAGCTACCTGAAATGAAATGATGCATCCCTATGCTCTAGCTACTTTACATGAAAAAGCCTGATTCTATGCAGGTGTTGGAACCCGAGTTACCTTGGCAATGACTCCAGAAGAGCTGTGGGTCAGTAGTATCCTATTTCCAAAATTTCATACCTTCAAACATTTAGTTATGTCCACATATCCAAATAACCCTGGGGAAGTCTTCAGCCGGCTTCTTTTTAATACAGTGTCTTTTACGCAAAAGCTTCATAATGTTGTGTCTAAACCCAAATCAGCAGATAAAGATGTAGGACATCTCCCTCCCTCCCTCCCTCCCCCCTCCCTCCCTCCCTCCCTCCCTCCCTCCCTCCCTCCCTCCCTCCCTCCCTCCCTCCTCTTCTCCTTCCTTCCTTCCTTCCTTCCTTCCTTCCTTCCTTCCTTCCTTCCTTCCTTCCTTCCTTCCTTCCCAGTCTTTCTACCTTTTTTGTTCAGAATAAATTTTCTTTTTCAAAATCTTGCAGTCAGATATCAAGACTAAATTCTAGAGTGACATAGAAATTTCTGGTTCTCCAGAGAGTCCTAACAGAGTTAGAAATATCACTCAAATGCCTGAAATAGAGCCCAGGAAGAATAGAGGAACAAACCTTCAGCTTCGGGATTGTTTAACAAAGGGCAACAACAACCAAAAACAAATAGTAAGAGGTACTTTCTAACATGTGGCTTGCGGAAGGATCCATGTTGTAAATGTGTAAACTTGGAAAATGCTATCAAAAAGCAAAAATTTTATTTAATTTCTTATTTTATCAAGTACACTTAAAATGATATCTACCCTCTTAAAATGTTAAATGCACAGCACAGTATTGTCAACTATAGGCACTGTTTTGTAAATCAGATCTCTAGGTCTTATTTACCTTGGTTACCTAAAACTTGATGCCCATTGAATATCAAATCCCCGTTTTCTTCTCCCTGTAGCCCTTTAAACCGCTATTCTGCTCTCTGCTTCTATGAGTTTGACTATTTTAAATATGTCATATAAGTGGAATCATTCAGTATTTGTCGTGTGACTGGCTAATTTTACTTAGCATGATGTTCCCCAGGTTCACCCATGTAAAGTTTGAAGACACACTTTACCTACTAGATAATTTTGTCAAAGGTGGTTCAGATCAAGGCCTTTGTAGAACAGTAACATAAAACATTTAATTTATGTTCCATGTCTCTTATTTACTATTTAATCAACAAATATTTGTTGAGTGTTAGGTATTGTGTTGGGCACTGGAGATACAACAGACAGTAAAAGCAAGTAGGGAACTTACAAATTTGACCTTACATATGAACCATGTTGGTGAACATTATTGCTCTCTTTTTCCTAACATACATAGTTGCTTTTCCTGGTGAGATTTCCTAGCCAGGCCCTATATTCCCCCACTTATTTGTAGTTTCAGGCTTAGTACAAATCATGTTCTCAGTGTGTACTTGTTAATAATGATAAGATAGTGAATGGGATTTAGGAACTGATATTTTCAGTGTAGCATAACTCCAGCGTTGGTGGGGGGCACTTCACATTGTAGTTACTTGATTGAGGATTCTAGACCATATTTAAAATGATTAGGAACTGCATCTGTAATACAGAAGCAATTATAAATTCCTTAGGGAAATACAGTTAAAATAAAGTTAATTAGAAAGGCAAAGGTTAGAAAATGTTGCATGAATTCAGAAGCAATTTAATAATGCAGAGGTTTAGAAAAGTCACAGCCTTCAAAAAGTACAGAATCCCAGGATAAGTGTACATTAGAGAAGAAAGGGATTTCTAGATTTTCTAGTTCAGCTGAGGGGTAAAAAGAGAGACTTAGAGAAGGGGAACAAATTCTTCAATGTTACATGGTGAGTCAGTGGCAGAAATGGATTCAGGACTCAGGTCTTTTGATTCCCAACACAGATTTTTTTTTTCCAAACAGCAAGAAAGAGCTAGTATTTATTAAAAGAAACTGCACATTCAGCATTCTATCTTATAACACCTTACATCAACGCATTAAGTTAAATTTACCTCTATTTTGCAGATGAGGAAATTGAGAATCAGAGCGAACAGGCCAAAGGTTGTACTCTCAAGATTTCCATTTTCAAAGACTGGAATACAATGTAATTGGTGGTTACCCCTACTTCCAGTTGTGCAACACTGAGCTCTGAGTGAGGCATAAGTGGGTTGTCCCAAGGTTGGTCTTGAATACTAATGGCAAATTCCTTTCAGTTGGATAATAAATTTCTATTTGCTCCTCCAAGTTTATTCCACCTGTCTCACTCATTACCTAATTTATTTATTTTTTATGGGGGACTAAGGGATTTTTAGAAAATAACAAATAAATCACCCAAATTCAATTTGAGTAGCATAAAAGGTATAATAATGATGGTCTCAGTGACTTCATAGTTTAGGGGCTGCTGGCAGGCCATCTAGTACAATGCTCAATCTACTGTGGTACACATTCTTATTCTACCATGGCATGCCCTCAGGCAAGTTACCTTTCCCAAGCCTCACTTTCATCATCTGTAAATAAGGGTGATAATAGTTCTTACCTCAAAGAGCTATGATTTGTTATTTTAAATCCAATTTTTAAAATAACAGAATACATGTAAAGCATTTAGCCTAGTCTTTGATACATAGCAAGTAATCAGTTATTACCCCAGCTTCTGTTATGTGAGTGCTAATTTCTGACTCAAATGTACCAGTTCTGGGAGAGAACCCATCAAAATGTGTGTTTGGGAGAGAATAGGCCGTAGGTTGACCTCCTTGTCCTGTTGTTGTGAATAGGGCTCTACTCTTCACATGGAGTTGCCCTCACTGTTTCCCGCTCCTAATGGTTGAAAGAGTGAAGTCCTCTAAGGACAGAGATATCAAACAGTTCAATATCCTTGTTATAATGCAGACCAAAAAAAAAAAAAGGACTTCTTCCATGCTACTACAGAAAAGAGGATGTTCCTAGAGTGACTTGGCTCCCAAGTTTTGCCATGACAGATAAAAGATTAGGTCTAGGGGAGGGTTGGAAGAGTAATATGTGGCTATTGACTAGAACTAAGATTGTAGTGCCAGGCTGGGGCTCTTTGATGTCTGAGTCCACAATTCTCACCTCATCCATGGTGAATCTCTCAACCTCATGCCTTCAACCTAGCACATGGAATAAATCTATTTTGGGGAAAAGAAGTTGGACTAAATTATTTTTGAAGGTTTAGTAATAAATTGAACTCCTTTGCATATAGTCAGTTCAGAACCACTTTTCCACAGCTCTCCCCTCCCCACTGCCAAGCAAAGTTGGACTTTCCCCTCTCCATCCTACACATTCCTCAACCTCTGATTCATGCTGTTTTGTGAGATGTTTCCTGCTCAATACTTTCTTGACCCTAATTTGAACCAGCTTTCACTTGTTTATAAATATTGGGGCATACTACCGTGACAGATCTTTAAGATCCAGCAGGTGTGCCCCTGACTGGTCTCTTGAGAAGTTAAGCTTTCTTATACAATTAACGGTGAGGGTCAAGATAATAACTAACAGGCCTGGTACACACAGATTCTTTCTGGCAATGAACAATCAGGCTGGGTTTGACCAGTACTCACCAGTGCTGATTATCAGCCCTGAAGAGAGCCATGCCGTTACTTTTATCTTTGGTTGAAATTAAAAATTGAGTAAGGATTTTTCTCATTAATATCTCCCCCAAGCAGTTAATTCTTCTTACTATGTCTAGCATGGTTATTCCTGACCTTAGATAAAATTTAATGTCTGTTAATTCATTTCACAAACATTTATCTGACACTCAATCTGTGTTGGGAACTTGGCTAGGCACTGGGGCTATGAAGAGGACCTCTAGGAACTTCCACTCCACTGAGATGTGTTCTGTATAGAGAATTGCCCTCATTGTTGCCCACTGCTTGTGGCTGAAAGTATGAGGTCCTGTAGATACAGAGATATCAAACACTTCAGTATCCTTATCACAATATGCACCATAAATAGGAAAAGTATGTATATTAGAATGACACCTTTCCTAATGGGTATAAGTATGAGGCACAGATGGAAAAACAATGAACTCAACCTGGGGATGTTAGCTAAAGCTGCATAATGTAGGGGACACTTCAGCTGGGTTTTGAAGGTAGAGTTCATCAGGATAATCCAGAAGTGGAGTATGGGAGAAGAGAGGACGGCATTCAAAGCAGAAGAAATGTCATTTTATAAATCCTATACTTGACAGACTATATGACATATGTCTGTAGAACTGTAAGAAATTTACTATAGCATCAGATGAGAATAGTGGGAGATGGTGGTATACAGAAAGGTAAGGACCAGATGGAGAAAATCTTTGCCTGCATCATCTTGAAAGAATCCTCTGCATTAGCTGAGACCACTTCATTTATTCCTATTCATTTTTGATTCATTGTGGTCCCTCAACTTGCATCCTTACTCTCTGAATCAAAATCCAATTAACAGACATATTTCTATCTTTAGCTTACTTGAATTCCTTGCTGAGTTTACAGTGTGATAGACACTTCATCCTCAAAGTTTCATCTTCCTTGGATTTTAAGGTAACGTCTCCTGAATTTTGTTGTTTCTCTTGAATTTTGATATAAGTTTTTATTATGACTTTCTTTCTTTCTGCCTGACCCTTAAGTGTTGTAGGTTCTCAGGGATTTGTCCTCTGGCTTCTTTCTGTACTCTACAACTGTCTTTTGTTGATCTTATATACTGCCATATATTCGATTAGCCGCTATTAATTGATGACAGTCAAATTTATATCTCTAGCTCAGATTTCTATTATAAGATGCAGTATGTCAAACTGTCTACTGGATATTGCCACTGGTACATTCTACAGGCATCACCAGTTCAACAGGTCTAATAAAGTGCATTATATCTCCCACTCCTTCCTCTAGTGTTCTCTATCTTAGAGACTTGAATAATTTTTTCAACCAGTTGCCTACATCTGAAAAGCTCAAAATCATTTTAGAATCCTCCTTTTTACCCTTTGCCTTCTACATCTTGTCAGTGCAAAGTTGTTATTGGTTCCACTTTCTTGAACTCTTTGATATTTTTAATCTTGGTAAAATTAATCTCCAGTTTTCTACTTCTTCACTACATGTCTCTTGATCTGTCATCATTTCTCATACGAATTACTACAACAGCCTCCACACTGGTCTCCTGCACTCTAGTCTTGCCCTTTTCCAGCCCAATCTTCACAGTGCTACTTGAATGATTTATTATTATTTTTATTTTAAAATTATTTTTATTAATTTATTTTTGTTACAGATGTTTTTCCTTTTTCCCCCATAGACACCCTCCTCCCCATCCCCCCGCCCCATCCCCAGTTTTGTTGTCTATGTCCATTGGTTATGCATACATGCATATGAGTTCTGTGGTTTATCTCTTTCCCCCCACCACCCCCTCTTCTGAGGATTGTCAGTCTGTACCCTACTTCTATGTCTCTGGGTCTGTTATGTTCATTAGTTTGTTTAGTTCATTATATTCCACAAATAAGTGAGATCATGTGATATTTGTCTTTCTCTGCTTGGCTTGTTTTGCTTAGCATAATACTCTCCAGATTCTTCCATGCCATCTCAAAGGATAAGAGATCTTTATTTCTTACTGCTGCATAGTATTCTATTGTGTGAATGTACCACAGCTTTTTTATACACTCATCTACTGAAGGACACTTGTGTTGTTTCCAGATCTTAGGTATTGTAAATAGTGCTGCTATGAACATAGAAGTACATATATTCTTTCTGACTGGTGTTTCAGGCTTCTTAAGGAATATTCCTACAAGTGAGATCACTGGGTCAAGTGGCAGTTCAATTTTTTGAGGTAACACCATAGTGTTTTCCACAGTGGCTGCACCAGTTTGCATTCCCACCAGCAGTGTACTAGAGTCCCCTTTTCTCCACACCCTCTCCAGCACTTATAGTTTGATGATTTGTTGATGGCAGCCATTCTGGCTGGTGTGAGGTGATACCTCAATTGTTGTTTTAATTTGCATCTCTCCGATGATTAGTGATGTTGAGCATTTCTTCATATATTTCCTGGCCATTTGTATGTCCTGTTTGGAGAGGTGTCTATTTAGGTCCTCTTCCCACTTTTTTTTCCCCCTCATTCGAGGACATTTTTCCATTTTTTGTACAGACAGAGTGGGAGGGAGAGAGAGGAAGAGAGAGAGGGGGATACATCGATGTGAAAGGGACACATCGAGTGGCTGCCACCTGCACGACCAACCAGGGCCAGGGGCAAACTGCAACCGAAGTACGTGCCCTTAGCGGGAACCGAACCCGGGTCTCTCCGGACTGCAGGTGGACGCTCTAACCGCTGAGCCAAACCGGCCAGGGCCTCTTCCCACTTTTTATTTGGGTTCTTTTTTTTTGTTGAGTTGTATGAGCATTCTATATATTTTGGAAATTAACTTTTTATCTGATGTATCATTGGCAAATATGGTCTCCCATATAGTGAGTTCACTTTCCATTTTGATGGTTGTTTCTTTTGCTGTGCAGAAGCTTTTGGGTTTGATGCAGTCCCATGTGTTCATTTTTTCCTTTGTTTCTCTTGCCTTAGGTGTTATATCAGTGAAAATTCTGTGTATGATGTCTGAAATTTTGTTGCTTATATTTTCTTCTAGGATTTTTATGGATTCACTAGTCACATTCAAGTCTTTTATCCATTTTGAGTTTATTCTTGTGTATGGTGTAAGTTGGTGGAATAGCTTCAGTTTTTATTTATTTTTTGCACATAGCTGTCCAATTTTCCCAAAAGCATTTATTGAAGAGGCTGTCTTGACTCCACTGTTTGCTCTTGCCACTTTTGTCAAATATTAATTGAGCATATTGGGTCAATTTCTGGGTTCTCTGTTCTGTCCCATTGATCTATCTGCCTGTTATTGTGCCAGTACCAAGCTGTTTTGATTACAGTGGCTTTGTAGTCTACCCTGATATTGTATCATAATTCCTCCTACTTTGTTCTTCTTATACAATATTGCTGTGGCTATACAGGGTCTTTTTTTGGTTCCATAGAAACTTTTGTAGTATTTGTTCTAGTTCTGTGAAGTGTGTCATTGGTATTTTGATGGGGATTGCATTGAATCTATAGATTGCTTTGGGTGGTATGGACATTTTGATGATGTTGATTCTTCCAATCCATGAACATGGTATATGCTTCTACTTATTTTTATCTTCCTCTATTACTTTTTCAACGACCTGTAGTTTTCTGTGGAGAGGTTCTTTACTTCTTTGGTTAAGTTTATTCCTAGGTATCTTAATTCTTTTTTGCCACAATGGTAAATGGGATTTTTAAATTTTTTTTAGTTTCTCTTTCTGTGAGTTCATTATTGGTGTAAAAGAATGCCATTGATTTCTTGATGTTAATTTTGTATTCTGCTACTTTGTCAAATTCAATTATTAAGTCTAGTAGATTTTTGATGGAGTCTTTAGGGATTTCTATGTATTATATTATGTCATCTGCAAATAATGACAGTTTCACTTTTGTCTTTCTAATTTGGATTCATTTTATGTTTTCTTCATGTTTAAATGATGTTGCTAAGACTTCCAGTACTATGTTAAATAAGAGTGGTGAAAGTGGGCATCCTTGCCTTGTTCCTGTTCTTAAGGGAAATGCTTTTAGTTTTTGCCCATTGAGTATGATATTGGCTGTAGGTTTTTTATATATGGCCTTTATTATGTTGAGATATGATCCCTCTATTTCCACATTACTGATTGTTTTTATCAGAAATGAGTGCTGGATTTTGTCAAATGCTTTTTCAGCATCTATTGATAAGACTGTATGGTTTTTATCTTCTATTTTGTTTATGTGCTTTATCACATTTATTGATTTGCAAATATTGTACCATCCTTGCATCTTTGGGATGGATCCCACTTGGTCATGATAAATAATTTTTTGCTGTATTGCTGGATCCGATTTGCTAATATTTTGTTAAGAATTTTGGCATCTGTGTTCATCAGAGACATTGGCCTGTAGTTTTCTTTCTTTGTAGTGTCTTCATCTGGTTTTGGAATTAGGATTATGCTGTCCTCATAAAATCAGTTTGAAAGTCTTCTGTCTTCTTGGATTTTTTGGAATAGTTTTCTTAATTACATCTTCAATTTCCTTAGTTGTTATTGATCTGTTCAAGTTTTCTATTTTGTCCTGATTCTGTTTTGGGAGGCTGTGTGTTTCTAGAAATTTTTCCATTTCACCTAGATTGTCCAATTTGTTGGTGTATAATTATTCATAATATGTTTCAATGATCCTTTGTATTTTTTTTTCCTTTTTTTTTTTGGAGGGGGGTGGTTCATGCCCCAAGCAGGAACCAAACCCAAGATTCTCTGGTCTGCAGGCCGATGCTCCAACCACTGAGCCAAACTGGCCAGGGCCTTTGTATTTCTGTGGTGTCTGTTGTTACTTCTCCTCTTTCGTTTCTGAATTTGTTTATTTGGTTCCTCTCTTTTTGTTTCTTGATGAATCTGGCTAAAGGTTTATCAATCTTGTTAATCTTTTCAAAGAACCAGCTTTTTGTTTCATTGATGTTTTGATTTTTTTTTTAATCTCTATGTCGTTTATTTCTGCTCTGATCTATACTATTTCTTTCCTTCTACTTGCTCTGGGTTTTTCTTGTTGTTTACTTTCTAGTTCTTTAAGTTGTAGGGATAGAAAGTCAATTAGGAATTTTTCTTGCTTCTTGAGATAGGCCTGTAGTGCTATGAACTTCCCTCTCAGAACTACTTTCACTGCATCCCATAGATTTTGTGTTGTTGTGTGTTCATTTTCATTGGTTTCCAGGAAGTTTTTAATTTCTTCCTTGATCTCATTGGTAAGGTATTTGTTGTTTAATAACATGCTATTTAGCCTTCAAGTGTTTGAATGTTTTTGTGTGTTTTTGTTGTAGTTGAGATCTAGTTTCATGCCATTGTGTTCTGAGAAGATGCTCTATAAGACTTCAATTTTTTTGAATTGTAGAGACTTACTTTGTGTCCTAACATGTGGTCTCTCTTTGAGAATGATCCATGTGCACTTGAGAAGAATGTATATTCTGCAGCTTTGGGGTGAAGTGTTCTGTAAATATCAATTAAGTCTAACTGATCTAGTTTGTCAATTCAGGATTCTATGACCTTGTTGATTTTTTATCTAGATCTATGTAGTGGTGTCAGTGGGGTGTTAAAGTCACCCAATATGATCATATTGCTATTGATCTCTCCCTTGCAGTTCTCCAGATGTTTTAAAATATATTTTGGTGCTCCCATGTTTGGTGTTTATGTTTACCAGGGTTATATCCTCTTGTTTTATTGATCATGTTAATATTATGTAACGACCTTCTTTGTCTCTTACTATGGCAATCATTTTTTTAATGTCCCAATTCTGCTGTATAACTTTATTTATTTTATTTTTATTTTTAATTATTTATTTTTGTTACAAATGTTTCTTCTTTTCCCCCCACTGATTCCCTCATTCCTCTCCTTACTGCCCTGTCCCCAGCTTTGTTGTCTATGTCCATTGTTTATGCACACATGCATATAAGTTCTGTGGTTTATCTCTCCCCCACCA